GAGAGAGAGAGAGAGAGAGAGAGAGAGAGAGAGAGAGAGAGAGAGAGTGAGACTAGAGAGGGGAGATCCGAAGCGGAAGTAACAGGGGTAGATAACAGGTGTTGAAGGGATTCTGAGATTTCTTTCACGGCGAACGCTCGCGCCTCGGTTTAACGATATTAAATACGGTTCCCGAGGCTTGTAACTCTGTCCGCTGTTGTTGCCGTTTCAGCCCCCGTACTCGCTCAAATTACCACGATTAATCACCATAGTCGCGAATAATTAATTGCGCGCAAGGGGCTGCGTGAAGCGTACATTCATCACGTGTATTGTTTTAACCGTGCCAGTTACGCTCGGTGATAGTACACTTAGCGGTGGCTTGTACTATTGCGGAAGACATTCTCGTGGTATTTTCAATTAATAGCAAGTAAAACTCTTCGTTCGGCGCCCTTTGAGTTATACACCGTCCACCGATGGAAAAATGCGTCGGATTCGCGAATCTATGTACAAACATCGTCGTTGTTCTGTAGCAGCATTCGAGTTCGAGTCGTACTCGACAGGGTCGTAGAACAATTTTACCTCGTTAACATTGGAATTACTTTATAGACGGAACGAACGTGTTGTTTAAATGCTGCACGCTGAAACGGTACTTGAAAAAAAGAAAGAGAATTGCATCATTTTTATAACGAACGATCGATACGTTAAAAAGAGTTACGAAACATCGTCGCACCGGCGATTAACGTTAAACAGGAGTTGGCGATCAAACGACCAGAAAAAAAAAAGCACAATCGCGAGAGAATCTCTAATCAACCTGGCCGCCACTTTACTGGCCTGAGCATAAAGCAGGACACGTGGACGCCGCGGGTAACGAGGGCTGATCGAAAGTCACCCAGCGCGACGCGGCGGTCCCGGAGCGAAGCACGGGTAAACAATTCCGCTCACGGAATGGGCAGCAGGCGATTATATACGAGGAGGAGGGGTCTGGACCATGAGGCTACATACATTACGTCGCACGTACACACACCGTTTCGTCCAACGGTCTGCACCGCGATGACCCTCGTCCACCTTCTTTCGTGCCTCCGTGTTCTCCGAGCGAGGATCGCTCTGACCGTCGACGCGCGTGACGAGTCACGAGTCGACAACTTGCTTCGTGTTCTTCCGGTAGGATCATTCCTCGCGAAATCGGGCAACCCTCGCAGAAATGTTTCGGACTTTTCGGAAATTCGAAAACGTTGCAACGTTTACGCGTATCTCGAAAGATTTACTAATGTACTTTCGAGGGCGACGATGCGGTTTTTTTGTTTTCTTCAAAGGGAACGATTCGAAACGCGTTCGTTCGTTCCCTCGGCGAGTCGCGAGGGCGCCTCGCATATCGATGCGGGCGCGCGTGCTCAATCGCGAGAACGATCTCATAATCAATTAGATAACGAGAATTCTCCGGGGGCCGGAAAAAAATGCTGCTTTCCTTCTGAAAAAAATATTACTTTCCGGTAGCCGTAACATAGAGCCGGACGAGCGTGTACGTACATCGCTACGGGGCACGCCACGTCCCGAGGACAGAGTATGGCGCATGGTTGGCGGTAGATGGTCGGTGGGATGGTCGTGTGTATCGATGTGTGCGAGCACCAGTGTGTGGCGAAGCTACCCTGTTATTTGTCCCACGCGCTGGCAGATTAAGATAATGGGCTAATGCGGACCCTCCGCGCCGTGCTGTTACCGGCGACCGATGGTGGCAACCGGACATCAGCGTGTCGGCGGGGGAAGAAGGGCAGAGATACGATGACCAGCGACCACGCGATCCGCCCGGACAAGCTCGGTTATACGCGCCTCGTTGCGAATTATCGTGCGAACTAATCGCGGGGCATGCGCCCTCCGACCTAAACTCGAAATTGGCGCCCGTTCGAGATCGACGAAACAATGCGTTATCCGTACCACCAGAATAGAAAAGTGTAACGACACGTGCACGCTATGATCGTTGAGAGCAGAAATACCCAGACTGAGAAACTAATTATCGACTGGTTATACATGTACACATCACAAGGTGGACGCGCGACTCGTTCGTAATCGACGACACGATATCTCAATTATCTGCAACCGCGATGGAAATTGAACGTCATTTGATTTCGCTGGAAGGAAATTAATTCTGATGCAGGCGAGACGGGATCGTATGCGCTCGAAGGTAATCTAAGTTACACTCACGGGGATGGAAAGAGGATGGACGACGGGGGGCGTTAACGGCCAAAAATAGGAGAACCAAAGGCTCGACGACGGATTTGACCGTTTCGGAACCGATAACCGCAACTATAATAATTCTACCTGTTACTTCGATCCGTCAAGTTTCGTACAGAATGTACAAATGTACGTATATTGGGGACTTTAAAGTTAAAATAATTCGAATTATACAAAACACGTATACACGACATACAAAAAATGGATGAAGAATTTCCGGACCGACATATTTTCGATTAAAAGCAATTTGGAGTAATCGACGAACCGTCCATAGCGTAAAAAAATAACGTATGGCTATTGAAATGCACCTGAAAAGAGTATTCGCATAGTTTCGTCCTAAAAAATCGACCGTGTCTCGAAAAATAGGAATGCGACGGGAATTCAACGCGTTGAAATACAATTCGCACTGTAAATTCCACCGAACGATAAAACCAACGGGGATGCGGCCGCAAAATGCAACAAAGCTTTGCCAC